GGGCAAAAAAGCTTCAAAGTACTTACAAGCCTATTTTTCAGTCAGCAGGAGTCATACTCGTGCTTGCATTAAATTGAATGCATTAAAACAGGCTGGACCCCATAGAACATTTTTTTTCCAGTCATGTTTTCTTAGATTTAGTACAAAGTCTGACTGTGCAGGGCTTGGCAAGGCCAGGGCAGTGCCTCCCACGGCTGGGTGCAGCCGTGCACATCACCCCATGCCGGGTGGCGCAGTGGGAAGATGCACAGGAGGAGCCGCTGAAGGACTCGCTGCCATCTGTGCTGTGCTTCCACAGGGACTGAGCTCCTACCTGAGGACTGACAAAGCATCTGGCACAAAATCCTCAACAGCACCTTCAAATGGCGTGAGATGAGTATGTGAGGCATCTTAATTCAAGCGTTAATCTGCCATAGATAACAGCACATTTTTTTTGCAGAACTATGGTGCTGTTGAGTATGAGACATCCCCGTGGGGCTGGCTGGCATGTCAAAACTCATGGGAGAGACAAGCTTGGAGGCTGAGCCTGGTGCCAAGTGCATCTCTGATTGCACTGGATGCCTCGATGGTGCTGGAGCTGTATTTCCCTGTTCCCATTGCAGCACCCCATTTCCTACCTCCTACCCTCAACTGCAGGACCAGAGCAGCAGCGGGTGCGTGGTGGGGCTGTGACCCAGGTGTCCCTCCACCCCATGGCCAGACAGCCCACACAGCCTCGTGTCTGCATCCAGAAATCCTACCCTTCACCTGCATCACTCCTGGCTGGGCACTGCTCCTTGCCTTGCACTTAGAAAACTCTTTGGAGCTGGGCCACGCTTTGTTTTGTTCATCCCCAGGGTAGGCACACATTTTCTCCTTGTTCTTAATTCCATTTTTTTCTGGCACTAATCCAATGGCATTTATTTCTTTCACAAGTAGTGTTTAAATAGTTGGCAGCATATCATTAATATAAGACTAGTTTTACCCCTAACGTAAATTTAATAATTTTCACAATTATTTTCTACAGCATTTTAAAGTGTTTATCAACTGTTCAACAGGAAGACAGGCAAAAGAAAACAAAAAAGAAACCCTGCAATGGCTCCTTTAAAACTTCTTTTTACAGAAACAATATTTTAAATAACTCTTTCTGGCTTTATATAAACAAGAGAACACTAAATATTTCCACCACTCCCACCTGTTCTTTTCTGAAGCAGAATCTCTACAAACCACAGCACTTCCTATCATAGGACAGTCTAGGGATATAGGAGAGGCAGAGTTTGTTAAAGGAGAGAATATATTTTATATTAAGAGATTTAAAACAGCAATAATAATTGGTGTTATGGAAAACTACTCCTCCCACAAACACTGTGCCAGTATCAGGACAGGTGCAGTACACTCAGTGCCATCGAGATGTGGGATTCAGAGTATGGTGGAGGAATAAAGAAAGGGAATTTTTACTGTTGTCATGGTTTAACCCCAGCTGGCAACTCAGCACCACACAGCCACTCACTCACTCCTCCCTGGTGGGATGGGGGAGAGAATCGGAAGGGTAAAAGTGAGAAAACTCATGGGCTGAGATAAAGACAGTTTAATAGGTAAAGCAAAAGCTGCGCACACAAGCAAAGCAAAACAAGGAATTCATTCACTACTTCCCATCGGCAGGCAGGGGTTCAGCCATCCCCCGGAAAGCAGGGCTCCATCATGCGTAACGGTGACTTGGGAAGAAGAAACACCGTAACTTCGAAAATCCCCCCCTTCCTTCTTCTTCCCCCAGATTTATATACTGAGCATGAAGTCATACGGTGTGGAATAGCCCTTTGGTCAGTTGGGGTCAGCTGTCCCGGCTGTGCCCCCTCCCAGCTTCTTGTGCACCCCCAGCCTACTCACTGGTGGGGTGGTGTGAGAAGCAGAAAAGGCCTTGACTGTGTGTAAGCACTGCTCAGCAGTAACTAAAACATCTTTGTGTTATCAACACTGTTTTCAGCAGAAATCCAAAACGTAGCCCCATACCTAGTTACTATGAAGAAAATTAACTCTATCCCAGCCAAAATCAGCACAACTGTTAACCTAATAATTTCATTACAATCGAATTTTAGTCTGAGGTTTTTAATTAAAATATAATAATTCACAGTATAGCCAGCAGAGGGAGCATTTAAAACAAAGACTCATTCGAAAAGGTCCAGCAGGTTTCGTTAAAAAGCACTATTAAACCAAAAGCGTATTGCGGGAACTGCACCAAAACATTTGTGGCAACCCAGCCCCTGACTTGTGAATTCACGCATGGACACGGCATAAAACTCGCAGTAATGGGAAATTACTCAGATTTCTTGCAAAAAAACCCACCTCAGAACCATTCCTCAGCATGAATCACTTTCAGCCCTTGGCACACCATAAGGATTTTTTTCAGGCGATCTAGCTGCTATTAGGTCAGATTCTGCAAACTGGTTGGGGTGTGTGCGGTTATTCAGGTCTCGCTGTAGGCGCCTGTGCATGTTTCTAGACTGCAGATCCAAAAGGGTGAGGGAGTGCACCGAGGGGAAGTCTGCCTCGCTGCGCTGAGGGCACGGCTACGTGGTCGTGGAGGGCTGTATTTTCAGGACTGTCTCCGCTGCCTTCATATACATCTGGCTTTGTCAGTGAGGGGTGCATGGAGGCATAGCAGCATCTCCAAAAATCTATGGAGAGCTCTGAGTGCCCCTGGAAATGGTTGCGTTTCAACCCCCAGGGGTAATACCTGGAGAAGTGGGGCTATTTCTGCCCTTGTGCCG